CATTTATAGGCCCTGAAAGCTCAAGTCCATGGCAATGAGTGAGACCTTTCATCATCAGATCATAAGGTCTTTCTTCCATCATGCCTCTAGGTGGGTTCAAATCACCAACTTATCTGTGCAGGAGATGTAAAACTAGAACTCATCCAGAAGTACTCACTTCTAGAAGTTTCCCCAGGACTTCCCACATGTAATCTGTGTTCTCATCTCACCCTGGCTTCGTTTACTCTCTTCTCTTTGGTTTCTCTTATCCTGATTGATTTATTTAGAGTGACTAATTTTATTTCTTTATTTAATATCACCAGGTTAATTAATTCATAGGGTCCCTATGAATCATAGTTGACTCAACAACACCTAACAACAACCATATAACTAATGAGAATTATAATTCTAAAGTAGCTTTGTGCATTTTTTTATGCTACTAAAATTCTCTTTGGAATAAAATTGGGCATTAGTATGCTTGAATTTTAGGAGATGCCCTAAATCCTTCACTCAAAGTTTATTTACTCTTTTTTCAAGATCCAATTTTAATAAACTCAGTCATCTGATTTTCCAATACAGAGCATCTTAGAAGAACACCACTGACAAAGAAGAGTTGTCTGCTCTTGATGTAGTACAACATATCACACCAGCATGATCGATGTTATTGAGCGCAGCAGTGAAAGACTAAATGAATATATCAGCAGGCAAGTGATGCATGGCAGCTAACAAGGAGAAGGTACAAACTATTAACACAGACAACAGCAACAGCAAAACAAGAAGTAAATGCCAAGCAGCCAGGGTCCCACTCGGTAAGGAATCAACCTCTCTGGATTTCAGAAACCTCTGTACTGCAATCCCAAATGCACACCGTTTGAACGCACAAATTGCTCTGCAAGAGAAGGATGGACAATCTCCTCCAGTGTGATTTACTGTCTCTGAAAACCCGCTGGAGGGTCAACTGTCAACTATGGGTCAGTTCCAACTTGACGGCACACAACAGCAACAACAACAACAACTGATGATTATAGCACAATAATAAATACTGGTAAACATGACTAATTCTTGAAGGAAAGAAAGTCAAAGTAATGAAACACAATGTGAATGAAGGATAGTGCAAAATGATATATACGAACTTTGTATGCAAACCAATATAATATTTAAAAAAAGAAAGTCAAAGTATGCTTGGGATTCTTTGAAATGTCAGGGATGTGTGTTCTACATTTTAGAAAACTTTTTGTTTCACAATGTTCTTGTTATGGTTGATTGCCATGGTGTCACAGCTCATATATTACAGTGGTGTGAACTGTGCTTCATAAGCTTTTCTTGACCATAATCTTTGGAAAGAAAGCCTTGTTTCCTAGTGGGTAAGGAACTGTGCTGACAACCCAAAGCATTCGGTTCAAATCCACCAGCTGCTTCTTGGGAGGAATATAGGCATTCTCCTCCTGTGTGATTTTACAGCTTCTGAAAAACCTGTTGGAAGGTCAGCTATGGAGGGTCACTTCTGGTGAATTGACTTTGACTATTGGATCTTTACAAAGGAATCCAATTGCTAGGACTTTCTTCCACAGTTCCACTGGGTGGATTTGAACCACCAACCTTTCAGTTAGCACCCAATCTATAACTGCTTGTGCCACCAGCTTCCTTTGTTTGGAAGTGATCATTTTAAAAGTTTGAAAAGTATGGGAGCTTGCTTTTTTAAAAAATTAATGTCAATGAACATTTACAGAGATTTTGGATTTCCATTCATTCACTGTTGCACTTTTCTACCCGCCCCCGCCCCCAAACCCCCAGTTCACTCTTCTCTTTGAAAAGTAAAAGAAAAATTCCTTCATTGGTATACAATCCCCTTGCACCTCCCCACCCCCACCCCGACTATACTCCACTCTGCAACCTTCATTCTGGACTCTTATGATAATCATAATGCCTTATAATATATTGCTTTTAAACTGTTTTCTCCTTTTTAAACCACAGCACAGTGATGACCAAAACCTGCTCGTGGGGCAGCTATGAATTGTTTCCAACTCACTGGCCTACGACCACTATCACCACGACCACCAAATGGTCAGTAGTTGGAACTCATAGGCTGTTCAGTGAGAGAAAAATGTGAGAATTTTGAACCCTCTGGAAAATTTCTTCTTTACAAAAGCTTTTTCCCTGACCAAGCTGAATACCACAGCTTTCATGATATAACACTGTGATATCTTCTGGTTGGAACATCTCAAAGAAGCAATAGATGAAGAATGGGTACTGTTGAGATTTGCCCAGTTGCACTATGCTCTTGTTGTTGTGTACCATAGAATCGGAACCAACCCATAGCTGACCCTCTGGTTGATTTTCAGAGGCAGTTAATCACACAGGAGGAGAGTGCCCATCTTTCTTCCGCATTGCAACTAGTGGATTTGAACTGCATGCCTTTAGGATTGCAGCACAGCTTCTTGCCAGTAGGCCACCAGGGTTCACAGTCATATTGTAGTGAAGATCAATTCCAGCCACTTCCAGGACAGTGCTGCCATAGTGCTGGGCCCAAAAGGAGTCTTCATGACTTGCAAGCAAGAGAGAGTTAACAGCAAGCATCAGAATAACTTCTTTTCCCACCGAGTGATTGCTTATTAAGGCCTCTGGACATTCAGCATGACCTGGTGCCTATCTGGATGTGTGGAGCCTTACTTTCTGAACATTACAAAAAGAGAATAAATAGTTCCTGGAAGCATGCTGGAAACCCCTAGACACAAGATGCTCTGTAAATGGAAGATGTTATATAAATGTTATTATTATGTGAGACCAGATTCCTTCCAGTCATGACATAAATAACTGCCCTGCACTCATGCAGTCACAGACACTAGATTTCCCTGGTGGCAACTAGGGCCAGTCTGTTCTCCACCTGAGTGCAGGAAGTAGCTCAGATGTTAGAGTTGCAGATTCAAAGGGAGATGCTATTCATTATCAGATGCCGCAGTTCCTGGGTTACAAACACCCAGTTTATGTTCCCTGCACTCCTATTTGCATTTTGTGGTTATGTTGTTTGTTAGGTGCCATTGAGTTGACTATGACTCATAGTGACCATATGAACAACAGATCTTTACTTTGTTCTATTCTGCACTATCCTTAAAATCACCATGCTCAAACCCATTGTTGTAGTCAGTGTGTCAATCCATATCAAGGGTCTATCTCTTATCCTCTTTCCCAGCATGATGCCTTATTCCAGAGACTAGGCTTTCCTTGTGACATGCCTGTACCGTACCACCATCTTTGCCTTTAATGAGCGTCCTAGTTGTACTTCCTTCAAGACGAACTTGATTATTCTTCTGACAATCCAGAAGATATTACGTACTCTTCTCCAACACCACAAGTCAAGAGCATCCGTTCTTCAGTTATCCTTATTCATTGCCCAACTTTCAGATGCATACTAAACATAGGCTTTAAACTGACGTCATTGCTTTTTAGCACTTTGGAATGTTCTTTGGCAGTAGATTTCTCCAATGCAATCCATCTTTTAATTTCCTGATTGCTGCTATCTTGGGTGTTGATTATGGATCAAACTAAGATGAAATTATTGACAACTTCAATTTTTTTCCTTCATCTGTCATGATGTTTCCATTGATCCATTGGTGAGGATTTTAGTTTTCTTGATGTTAAGATAAAATCCATGTTAAAGACTGTATGCCCTTTAATTAAATTTGCCTACACTCTTACTGAACCAACCCCTACTCACTACAGATTTCTTCCTCACAATCACCTTAACTTGCTGCATATACAGCTTTTAAAATTTTGAAAAATATTTCTCTTGTACTAACCCAAGCCCTATTACTTGTTTCTGACTCGTAGGGATCCTCCATTGAGTTTCCAAGACTATAAATATTTGCAGGGGACACTGCCCATGTTTCTCATTCAAAGCAATTGGCTGGTGGGTTTGAACTGCCAACCTCTCAGTTAGCAACCCAATATGTTGGCAACACTATGCCTCTACCAGCTGCATTTTCTGGTAACAAAGTGTGATGTTAGCTAAAAGTTGGCTTGGTGGTTTGTTTGTGTTTTTGGTTTGTTTGTGGTTGGTTTTTTTTTTTTCCATTGTAGTTAATCCTCTCTAGTCTCCAGCTACCTTAACTGCACACACATGATCTTGCAAATTAGCATGGTCTTGTGAATCAGTGTCAGCTATGGGATTAGGATATGAGAAGGAGTGCTTCCCACGTTGAGTAGCAAGACTTGTGGCAGCAAGACTTGAGGCAAGTAAGGTTTATGGTGTGAAGACCCTGGTGAGAGTGAAACCTTGGTGGTGAAGAGACTGTGGCATTTCTGTGGACAAATGGTGGCAAGATGTAACCTGAAGCTTCTTGCATTTGTACTGGCCATAGTTAAAGGTTTGGTTGTTCTTGCCTGGTGTTTGAAGGAGAGGCTGACTTATAATTGCTCTGAGGCAAACCTTGTTTAATGATTTGGTTGTAACTATTCTGAAGCAAACTTTGCTGGATGATTTGGATTTGACTGCTGAACTGAAACGAGATCCTGGACTAACTGAGGATTCATGCCTTGGAACTGTTGGGCTAAAGCCTGAACTTATTTTGGGTGTTATTGTTTGGCCTCCCCCATTCAATCCCCTAATAAACCCCATTGTTGGTACTGTGACTTGGAGTCTGTGAGTCAGCAATAAATAAATGAGCCTCTGCTGCTGGGGCTCTAGAGGCACCATGGGGTTGGGCTATGGGCTCTTTATCTGCTTTCTGCCCTGAAGCAGTGAACGATTGTCCTATTCTTTTTCTCTTTGGTCTATTCAGAGGGATGTTCTTGGTCCTGTGCCCCCATTTAGACACAAGGTAAAGCTAAATATGAAGTATATGGATCTATTCCAATTTACCTGCAGATTAGCTTTAAGGTATATTAGGAATTGATCTTGTTCATAGCCTGCGGATTGCATTATGGATCCAGAATTCACAGCCAGAAAGCAGAACATACATCATCTTTCTCACTTAGAGTAAGCAAACAAAGAGTTGATTTTTAAAAATTCTTTTTGTTTACAGAACTATGCAAAACTTATTCCTGGAGCTACAGTTGGGCTACTTCGTCAAGACTCTGGAAATATCCTCCAGCTGATCATCTCGGCTTATGAAGTATGAAATTTTAAATTTACCTCCTTTTGTATGTCTTTGGAATTTAAAACCAAGGTGTGTTTGGGATATTTACATATATACTTAACTGTCAATAGAGTTCTTCACTCAATAGCCCTCAAAAAAAGTCTCTCTGCACTAATGTAGCCACAATATAAATTCTGTCTTTTTTAACGCATTCTTCCTGAAACATGGAAGAAAAGTCATAAGCTTGATTATATGTTTAAGTGACTCTTATAATAGTAATCAAAAGCAGTACTATCTCTTGGGAGCATTTTGTTTCTACTTAATTTTCTCCGTGAGTCATATATTTAAGCTTCCCTCTTCTCCATCTCCACAAAATATTAAGTTTAGATTGCAGCAAGTAAGATAGCTATGTGGCAAAGCAACCCCACATGCATAATGTCATGAGAAAAAATGCAAATGTTGGTTTGGCTATGCACCAAAACACCAGCGGTGACCAGAAATACCACTTGGTAGATTCTCTATTTTGACAAACTGGAAAAAAAATGTTTTAAGTATATAATTTGCCTTGAGTTTTTTTTATTACTACCTGAGGATAGAATACAGAGTTACTATAATGTTCTCTTTTCTTATCCTTCTTTCATATGTCAGTTAGTGGACATCCAATTGTCAGTTACTGGTTGTTACTTTGGTTTCTAAATTTATCTCTCTTCAACAAAAATTTTTAAGAATGAAGATGACACTAATATAAGACAAGAACAAAGAAAAGTAAAATTTTGTAAACTGTGAATCTTTACTATTTGTGTACCAAGCAGGACCATAATTACAAATGAATTAAAGTCAAAGACATCACTGTGGAGAAGAAATCGGCATATAGTTGACCCTCCAGCATTTGTTATTTTTTGAGGCTATGATTGCACAGGGCGAGATTGCCCATCTCTCTTCTTTGGAGTGGCTAGTAGATTTGAACAACTAAGCCTTTGAGTTAGAAGTGCAACTCTCTAAGGATCACGCCACCAGAGCTCCCTAATGTATTAATAAGAGTGTCCCAAATTTTAAAAATTTTGAAATTACAAATAAAGGATCAATTTGCAGTATGCGCTAATACTTTGAATATGCTAAAACACTGTTGATTTTTCTTTAAAAACAAAACAAAACAAAACAAAACCCACAAACCAGCTGTGGCCGCCACATAGTGGATTTTCTTTAACAAATAAAGTGAATTAAGTTCTAAAAAAAAAAAAAACCAACAAAAAACAAACCAACCTTAAATGTTATTTCAGAATCATCTGGGAAGTTTTTCTAAAATAAGTTTCTCCTCATTGCTCTGATAGACATTTTAAGAGAACATTAAGGGACAGATAAGCTACATATTTTGAAAAATATCCTTCAGTGATTTTTATATTATCCCTTTTGAAAGTTATCTTAAGAATTTAGACAAGGAGTGGGCATGGTTCAATTGTTACTAGTTTTATAAAACACAATGTACAGAAATGATTGTATGAAACACAATGTGAATGAAGGAAAGGGTGAAATACAATGTATATGCATTTTGTATGAAAACCAATACAAAAGAAATATTTTAAAAAAGAGTTTAGACAAGGAGTTTCTTTTCAAACATTTTATTTCGTCAAGCAGTAAACTACAGAAGTGCCCATTACAATGTTAGGAAGATAGAGTTTCTTCACTGATAGCCTGAACTTCTCAGCTCACTTCAAAAATTAATGACCCCTACCTCACGCTGCATTGGAAAGCTCACCAACAAAGTGCTATGAAAATCTAGCTTCCTCTCCTGCAGTAATCAAAGTATTAATGTGTAGAATCAAAATCACACAGCAATCCTTTCATGAATTAGAAAACACCATTTTCTTTCAACCCAGTCCTTTCTGAAGTGTTGGCTACTGAAATCTTTAAATGAACTAAGCAAATTAGGTAACAGTAAATTGTCAAAAGTGTTTCCCCGAGTTTGACCAGCCCTGTCTATACTACTGCCTGTGTTACAAGAGATTAAGATCAGTTTACTAGTCACAGAGCACTCATACAACTTTAAATAGTTAAAACCAAGACATTGAACATTTGAATTTAATCTCATGCTCCTGTTTTACTGTCTCAAATATACTAAGAAGTGTCTATTACCTTTCATAACAAACAATCTTGCTCTGGAATGCTTACTGAATGAGTCTTTCTGAATCACATGTGAAGCAAAATTTCTCCGCATCAATTCAAGTGGTTTTCCTTCTGTTCTTTCACATGTAAGAGCCTTATAATATGACTATTCATGGGTTCAGTTTCTTTCCATCTGAAAAAGAAAAGGAAGAAAGGAGGGAGAGAGGAAGGAGAAGTAAATATTAAGGCACAAAAGAAAATCCTTCTGACTTCTATTGACACAGACAGAATATTTGTGTTGGTAATTAGTAGTTAGATTTTCAAGTGTCATATTGATTTTTTTTTAAAGCAACAAGACGTAAATACCAGATTTGTAATCATCTGACCATCAATAGCTAATTTTCTTCCTTCTTTAACCACTTAATTAAAGCTACTTAAATATTGATTTCAAAGGTGAGCTCCTCCACAGGCATTTAAGGCCCATGAGGGAAGTATCTTGTTTGTTTGGGTTTGGCTGATTAATAAGAAAATGCTCAATAAATGGAATGATGTGATACACAAGTAAACATGTATGCCTTTTCCTTGGGAAATGTGCATCAAAATATTGATGGACAAAGAAATTATCTGGTATCCCAACAATCTCGTACCGAAATTTCAGTCATTTGGGGAGTTATATTGGCATAGCCTGTAGGGAGTTGCATTGTTAACCCAAGGGTTTGAATCCATCAGTGGCTCTGAGGGGAAAAGATGAGCAATCTCCTCCAGTGTGATTTACAGCCTCCTAAAAGCCTGATGGTGCATCAACTTTGAGTTGGCTCTGATGTGATTGCAATAAATAATGAGTGAACGAGTCATTCATTTATAGACTTGTTGAGTAAACATGTCATTCATTTCCAGCTTAACTCCTGACTCACTGCATCACTCTCTCCAACCCTGCAGTTTTGCACCATTGAATCAATTCCAACTCAAATGCTCACATTAGCTTTTGATTATTTTATTGTAGTTAGGTCGGTGGACAGATGAATGATAGGTGGATGGGTAGGTGGGTGTATGATCATTCTCACACCCTGGTCTCTCAGTTTCTTGAACTTCTGTCTTAGTGATCCTGTACCCTCCCCACTTCTCATATTTTAAACCTTGAAACTACCAGTAAACTCCTTTAAAATCCCAGCTCAATGCAATCCACTTTTTTGTTCGCTCATTCCTATCTTTTTCAACTCAGTCCTTCTAGTTCTCTTAATATTTCTTCTGATTCATCAGAATCTCCAGTTTATCAACCCTATTCTTTCTCTTGCCTGGACCCCCAATTTAAACTCAGTAATCAACCATTATGATCATTCCTTAGACATACGTCAACTCTCCTGCCTCTTACTGTTCCTTTGAACTTGCATGACTAACTGCATTCCTAGCTAAGTCCAGTTGTCTACTCATGTACACAACTAATTGTATATGGAGAAAATATATAGACACGTTCACCAGTCTCACTTTAAGTTCACGGTCATGAACATATCTGTCTTTCTCTGTCTCTCATTGCAATTAAGTCAGGACTAACTCATAGCTGACTCTCCGGTGGGTTTCAGATGCTGTAAATATTGAAAGAGATTGCTCATATTTCTCCCAAGGAACAACTAGTGGGTTTGAATCACCTGCCTTTTGACAAGCTAGCAGTGCCCCTCCTTACTTCCTAGACAGCTCCCTCATGAACCTCCAGCAGATCCTTAATTCTAACAAGGAACCACACTTGACTTCTCTAGTGGATATTCCAAGGAAGATACCTAGAAGTCAGAGGACACATTAGGGGGGAGACCTGGCCTCTCTCTAACATCTTCTACCAATAGTTTTCTTCTTATTTGATGGTAATGCTACCTATCTTGTTACTCAAACCAAAAAAATGTGAGATGATCCTTGTCTCTCCTTTTTTTTTCTCCTTACATTGTACATTTAAGCCATCAGAAAAGCCTATTTCATCTACCATTAAAATGATTTAGAATTTGAGCCATTTTCATCTCCACTGCCTCCCTCCTGGTGAGAGTCAACACCTTTTCTCACATGAATTATTGCATTAGCTTCCTAACTGCCTTCTCCACTTCTACCCTTGGTTTCCTACAGTCTGTTTTCAACACAGCAACTGGAATTTTTCTTTAAAAATATTCTACGAGCATATAACACTTCTCTGGATAAAATATCCTAGGTATTTCTGCATTTTAGTAACAGTAAAAGGTGAGTTCCATCTATTGTACTTCTGGAAGGAGTACATTCTCCTATTACTCCTCTGATTATGTTCTTATTTTTCTTTGGTGGCCTCCTGGGTAAGCAGTTGTGCTGCCAACCGAAAGGCAGGTGGTTCAAATTCACCAGCTGCTCCACTGGAGAAAGATGTGCGGTCTCCTCTTGAGCGACCTACAGCCTCAGAAAAGCCACTGGAGGGTCAGCTAGGGGTCGGTTCCACCTCAACAGCATTGAGTATGACTCTCCTTTTTGCTCTCTCTTCTTAAACAAAACACTGACTTCCTTGCTGTCTTGTACCCAACACACCAGGCACGATCCCCTCTAAGGCCTTTCCTTTGGCTAGCCTCCTCCTAGGAATGTTTGTTCACAGATAGCTGATTAACTTCTCAATTCTTCAGGATTCTTCCAATGTCACCTTGTTAATAAATCCTACCCTGACCACTTTGTTTGAAATTTAGCCTGCACCCTCTTTACTATGATTTGATACTTAAATTACAAGGTTTTGTATATGCAGAACTGTACCAAAACAAAGCAGCCTGGTATAAATTTTATATCAGTAAAGCAAATATTCATTGTTAGAGAAGTCTGCAATTCTGTATTCATGGCAAAGTGACAGCCAGCTGCATTACAGAACCTAAGAAATTAAGCACAAGTAGAGGAAGCTATGTTGTATTTTGTAAGACATAGCAAAAAAGTGCCTTTCCTATGCCAAGCAGTGCAATTGAGGGTGGGTGGGGATGTTTGCAAAGTCCCTTGAAATGGATTAATTTTCAATGCAAATAGAAGTTGCTGTGACTGAGTCATATTGTGTAGAATGATCTTCAGGTATTTTGTCATTGCTTTATTGTCATTAAAATAATGGTGTATCTTACAGTTAATGGACTCTTAGATTCAGCACAATAGAGTATGTATTTACTGTACTGTTTTACTTGCTTGGTTAATGAGACAGCAAATTTTAGAGCTAAGGTTATTTTATTCATTTATAATTTGATGAACATGAGTCTCAGTTTCTTTCTCCATGTGTATCTTTTAGTTGTAACTTCGCTAACTGTTTATGCCTTGACTAAAGGAACTGCGATCTGAGGTGGAACTGGAAGTTCTGGGGGACACGGAAGGACTCAACCTGTCATTTACGGCGATCTGCAGCAATAGTACCCTCTTCCCGCACCAGAAGAAGTGCTCCCACATGAAGGTGGGAGACACAGTAAGTAGATGGCTATGTGTTATCTGAGAAAAATATCCGAATGGGTCCAAAATCAGCTTACTGTGCCAAAGCTGGCCTTCTCCTTTTAAGAATTTCAAAAGTAAATGTCAAGGATTTCTTAAACACCTGCCCACCCCACTCTTTCAGCAAAGCTGATCTCCACCCAGCATTGCTTCTTACCAGGCCTTGTGGTGGATTGAAGCAGCAGATAATTAGTGTTTCCTTTGCCAGGCTTCCTTCAACGTGACTGTGAGTATACCAAACTGCGAGAGGAGAAGCCAGCACATCACCATCAAGCCCGTGGGGCTGGGGGACGCCCTGGAAGTCCTTGTCAGCCCAGAGTGCAGCTGCGACTGCCAGAAAGAAGTGGAAGTGAATAGCTCCAAATGTCACCACGGGAATGGGTCCTTCCAGTGTGGGGTGTGCTCCTGCAACCCAGGCCACTTGGGTCCTCGCTGCGAATGTGGTGAAGACACGCTGAGCAGTGATTCCTGCAAGGAGGCCCCAGATCGCCCCTCATGCAGTGGCAGGGGTGACTGCTACTGTGGGCAGTGCATCTGCCACTTGTCCCCGTACGGAAACATCTACGGGCCTTACTGCCAATGTGACAACTTCTCCTGCGTGAGGCACAAAGGGCTGCTCTGTGGAGGTAGGTTTCCACTAAAATCCTCTGTACGTGGCATGTTCAGGTGTCAGGAAGGGACTATGCATGCTTGCACATGCTTCCACAGTTCTTATTACATGCTGTTAAGTTGGACTCTCCTGTACCTGACTCATCAGTGGGTTTTCAGAGGCAGTAAACTCCACAGGATTCTCTTTCACCATCTGTCTCCCATGGAGCAGCTAGTGGATTCGAACTGCATCTCTTTGGGTTGGCAGTGAAAATCCCTACCACTGAGCCACCAGAGCTTCTGCCTACAGACAGTGGTTACTCACTAAGTAGTTCTGAATGGACTGAATTAGAACTAGATTAGAACTAGAGGAGCTGGACCTTCTCTTGCATACCAACTGGAACAGAATCTCTTATTATTATTACTTAATCTCTATTATTTCCCCCTAAGAATTGATACTAGTTGTATGAGTCATAATCAACCTCAGGGCACTTAACAACAACCACACAAACAGATATCCTGTCACCTCTGCTTCACTTGTGAAGCCTTATGTGTGTCAGAGTTTTGAATTTTTTGGTACTTGTTTATTGACAAAGTTTGGATACGTTGATTTTCATACTGGATTTTTCCCAGAGTTTTTAAATGGCCTGTTTTTTGGAAGTAGATTGTGGGTTCAGACTTCCCACCTTCTGGTTCATTAAAAAACTGGTTTGCTTTTAAGAATAAATAGGTGGAAAATGGTTAATCTTCTCTCTGATTACCACCCAAACTCTATAGAACTACATGTCACCTCAACACTAGTAGCTTCCACATTTGTCTAGATCAGGCGGCTGGTTCTCTGATTCAACTTTAAGTGTCCTTTAATTTGGAAAAATAAAAAGCTCAGGCATTAAAGGAGCATGCTGGCAAGGACAAGGGCTGCTAACATGCAAAATGATCTTTCAGGGTCTTCATTCATTCCACAGCTACTCATTCGGTGAGTAGGTCTATTCGGTGCCAGATGATAGATTGGGGACATATTTAAAGATGACTATGAAAACCATTGTTTGGGTCTTTTAGATTAGAAAATTGAAAAAGTATTCTATAGAGATATCTATATTTAAATACTTTTTATAGGTGCATAATCACTAGAGGTTAAGAATAATTTAAAATATATTTTGTTTACTGGTGCTATAGATTGGTGGAACTCTTGAGACTGCATCCTTTAATCCTGGAACTGAGTTTAATCCTGGCACAGCTTTCAGCCAAAGAATAGCCAGGCCTGTGACACCAGAGAGGTCCTCAGTCTTTAGAACAGTCAACCATATGAGATCAAAAGGGCAGAATTTTTCCAGAGATGAAGCTCAGAAGGCAGAAAGGGGGGAAGTTAAAAGAACTGATAGAAACAAGAATCACAGTGCGGAAGTTGGAAGAGCACTGTTGTATTGTGAGGATTTTAATCAATGTTTTAAAGGGTTGTATTAACAATTGAATGAAAGACCATACTTTGGGCATGTTGTAAGGAGGGATCTGTCCTTGGAAAGGGCCATCATGCTTGTGAGGGTGGAGGGACAGTGCAAGAGAGGAAGACCTAGGGTTCTATGGGTCAGTTCTGACTCTCGATAGTACAACTATATATAGTTGTTGTTGTTGTGTACTATCGAGAGTCAGAACTGACCCATAGAACCTCTGATGGTTTTCAGAGGCAGTTAATCACGTGGTAAGAAATGACCCATTCTGCTCCCATTATCTCTATCTCTATCTCTATCATCTCTATCCCTATCTATATATCTTTGGTGACTTATTTGTAAGGAATTGCAGTGCCAACTTAAAGGCACAAGTCACCAAGTTTTAATCCATCAGCTGTTCTTTATTTTTTTTTAATTGTTATTAAATTTTATTCATTTTAATGAACATTTACAGGGATTTTGGGTTTTCATTCCTTCATTGCTACATCATTCTCTCTACCCTCCTCCCCAGTTTATTCTTCTTCCCCCGCCATCCGAATGTCTGTTTTAATTGTCCAATTGCCACAGTGCTTGTCAAAGTCAGTTCTGATTAATCTCCTTTGTCAGTGTGTCCTTTGCCATTCCCTATCACTCCTCCCTGAGAGAGACTTCACCCTGATTGATAAGGAAAAGGGGATGGCGTATTCTCTTAGCTACTTCCTGCTGAAAAGGGACGCTGTGGGTTTCAGGGTGAAGATCTTCTCTCACTACTCTAAAGGGCCCCTTTGGCAGTAGGAAACACATAGACTATTATGGAGATTGATTTTGGAATTTAGATGCACTCTTATTGATTGTGCTTGGCCGTACATGTTCATATCCTTGAAGATGTATCATGGGGGTGTTGCAACCTAGAAGACACAAATTTAACTAACAAGTTATAAGTACATGAGTCAAAAATTATAGAAAAGTAAAAGAAAAGATTCTTTCATTGTTTTACAAACCCTCCCCCAGGTCCCCTCCACCATGTAGCCCTTGCTCTAGACTCCTGTGATGACAGAAATACCTAGTCATATATCTCTTTTAAACAGTTTTCTCCCTCCTCTGTTTCAGTGCAGTATACATTATTGAACCCATCTTACTCAGTCTCTCTCCAACCCCGAGGTTAGTCCCATTCTACAACAGTGGCATCATGTAATATTTGTCCTTTTGTGACTGGGATATTTCGCTCAGCATAATGTTCTCCAGAGTCAACCATTTTGAATAATATTGCATGAGTTCCTTGTTTTTCAATGCAGCATAGTATTCCATTGTGCGAATATACCACAGCTTCTCTAGCCATTCGTTTGTTGATGGGCACTTAGGTTGTTTCCAAATCCTTGCTATTGTGAACAAAGCTGCAATAAACATGGGTGTGCATATATCTGCTTGGATGTCAGCTATGGTCTCTTCAGGGTATATTCCCAGTAGTGGAGTTCATCAGCTGTTCTTTAGGAGAAAGGTGGACAAACCCCTCTCCTGTGATTTACTGCCTCTGAAAATTCACTGGAGGGTCAACTATAAGCTGGGATCCAACTCTATGACATACACACATACATACACACAGATATTGTTGTTATGTACCATGGAGTTGGGACCAACCCATAGCAGACCACCCAGCAGGTTTACAGAGGCAGTTAATCATACAGGAGGAGGTTGTCCATCTGTCTCCCATGAAACAGTTGGCAGATTTGAATCTCATGCACCTTTGGTTTGGCAGCATAGTACCTGACACACTCTGTATGTGTGTGTATGTATGAGCTCTGGTTTCCTGGTGTCCTGGTGTTGTGTAATGTGCCAGGTTGCTAATCAAAGAGTCAGTAGTTCAAACTCACCAGTTCAAGCTCTTTGGGAAAAAGGTATGTAGCCTCCTCCCACAAAGATTTCCTTAGAAACCTAATGGAGGGTCACTGTGTGACTAAATGATTGACTCAATAATAAAAGCTTTTGAGATAGATAGATAGATAGATAGATAGATAGATAGATAGATAGATAGATAGATAGATATAGATGATGTAGAGATAGGGATAGAGATAGAGCTAGAGCTAGAGATAGAGATAGATTAGAGATTAGAGATAGATAGAGATAGAGATAGAGATGATATAGATATAGATTAGATAGAGCTAGAACTAGAGCTAGAGCTAGAGATAGAGATAGATATGCACTCTTGTGGCCTCATGGGTAAAGAGTTGTGCTGCCAACACAGAGGAGAGTGGTTCAAATCCACTAGCTTTCCAAGAGAGGATGATAGACAATTTCCTCTCATGCTATATACAATCTCTGAAAACCTGCTGGAGGGTAAGTTATGACTTGGTTCCAACTTGACAGCATATAACAATGGAGTTAATGATATAAATATGCTTTACAATTATATGAATCTGAATTATAATAAAAATATTAACGGCTGAATTTAAGTGCTATTGCCTTAATTTTTCATAGTGTGAGAGCAGGCAGATTTTCTAAACAGAGAACTGTTATCTATATGTCAAAGTATATAAAATGAAGCTTCAGAATACTTGACTCCAAGGAGCAGACTGGCTTTACCCAATCCAGGACAAACCTGTTTGTTCTCCTAGCAGTCCATGGTATATTCAACACTCTTCTCCAGCACCACAGCTCAAAGGCATCAATTCTCTTTCTATCATCCATAGTCACTGTCCAACTCTCCAATGCATAGCACATAATTGCAAAGACTATAGCCTGGATCAGGTGCACCTTAGTCTCCAGCCTGATGTCATTGCTCTTCAGTACTCTTGAGAGGTTCTTGACGGGTGATTTTCCCCATGCAATTAGTCTCTTGCTTTCCTGGCTGCTGTTACCAAGAGTGTGGAGCCAAGCAAACTAAAATTATTAACTATCTCAATCTCTTCGCCGTCCATGCTGATGCTGCCAGTTGGCCCAGTGGTGAGAATCTTTGTTTTCTTCATGTTGAGCTTCAATCTGTATTGAGGTCTGCAGTCCTTGAAGCAAGCACTTCAAGTCCTCCTCAGTTTCAGCAAGCAAGGTTGTGTCATCTGCATAATGCAGGTGGTTGATGACTCTTCCACAAATCAGGATGCCACATTCCTCCTCATACAGCCCAGCCTCTCGGATGATCTGTTCTACATACAGATTGAAAGGTATAGAGACAGAATACATCCCTGGCGGACCCCCTTCATGATTCTGAACCATGTATTGTCTCCTTGTTCTATTCTGATGACTGCCTCTTGGTCCAAGTATAGGTTTTACATAAGCACAATTAAATGTTCTGGGATTCCCATTCTTCTCAGAGTCAGGCATAGCTTGTTGTGATCCACAGTCAAAAGCATAGTCAATGAAGCACAGATAGACATTCTTCTGGTATTCTCTGCTTCCTGCCAAGATCCATCTAACTTTAGCTATGATATCCTTAGTACCACAACCTCTTCTAAATCCAGCCTGCACATCTCGTAGTTCTCTGTTGACATATTGCTCCAATCGTTTTTGGATAATTTTCAGCAGACTCTTCCTTGCATGTGATATTAATAATATTGTTTGATAATTTCTGCACTCTGTTGGGTCACCTTTCTTTGGAATGGGAACAAATATTGATCTTT